TGTCTTTCGTCTGGTCTGTTTATTTTGCGTTTGGGCCACACAGCAAGTATTTCAGAGGGTGAGCGAGTGCATCTCGGTGAGTGCAGGCTTCTCTGGACTTTAACTTTTAACTAGAGCACCTTCATATATGAAGATTAAAAGTCTAGCACTGAAGTGGGGCAACAAACAAAGGACAGGAAGAAGAGTAGATGGTGCTGAGTACTATTTCCTTCCCTGTTGTGCCATTGTGCCAGTTATCTTCAATGTCTACAACAAAGCAGTACAAATCATGTAATGAAAAGAATGCAGTTGAAAGACAATCTAAACAGGCTGTGTTGGTAAAATATATTTAATATATATTTCACGTTATCTTTTTTTCTGTGCAGCACCAATAAACTACAGTTCAAATACAAACGCGGCCCTCAGGGGTAGCTACGTTACACCACAAAACCTTTCTAATCTTTACCAATTGCGGTTTGCACTTTTCCGCTTTGACCCCAAGCAGAGCTCGTCTTTAATACAGATGTCGGCGTGATCACAAAGAAATGAATGAAATAAGTATCAAGAGACCTGCAAAAGAGGAACATTTTGTGCTTTGCAGAAAAGAGGCAAAAACCACTTCCTGTGAGTGAATGAGAGAGCTGTCCTAAAAACCACACAGTTTCATAAAAATACCACACACGCTACCTCGATAATGCTGCAGCCTAACATTATAGCTGCCCCTTGTTTACAACACAATAAACCCATATGCTGGAAAGCAAAGAGCACTTGCGCTGCACAAAAAGAAAGAAAGAAAAAAAACCACAATAAGATAACAGTGTCATGTCTCTACTGCTTCACTGACACCCAGCCATGTTTCCAGCCAAAACGCAGGTAAACCCGCACCTGGTATTAGTCAGTGTCATTATTCAGTTATTGTTTCCATTGTTCCTGGAAATATCAAATGAATCCCTTGCTTCCTTGCAGAATAAAACTGCACTAAATTGACGTTACTCTATTCTGTCCAATCGTCCAAGAGTCTCGAGGCAGGTTATTAAGTTACTTTATTGATCACCAATGTGGAGGGGGGAAAAAAGCTCATTCAAATGTCACAGAAAAGGAGACAGCATTAATACAGAGACAGCCTGAACGCTCATCTGTCTGACTGAAATGGTTTCAGTTTAAATGTCACTGTGTCTCTCTTCTACGCAGCTTTGACTGTCATACAGTTTACGTCTTCCCGTTAGTGGCAGCAAAGGCCTGAATGGCCATCTGACGAATTCAATTCAATCAAAGTGAAACTGCTGCTTGGTACGCGAGTTGTCCAAAAGCGAACGCTGGGATTACCCAGGCAGGTGGTGAGTCAAACTGTCAAAGAAAAAAAGCAATTCAGCCACTGGCTTTCAGCCCACTCACACTTTGCCTATCCTGCTTTACACATCCCCAGGTACATCCTGTCTGCAGATAAGCAAAGCTCACAGATTATCTTTGCGTGAATCGGAATGCGTCCCATTTGTTTTATCGGCGACTGTGAGCTTGGGGATGCTCATTTGATTATGCTTGCTCTTGTTTATGATTGTAGCTGTGAATGCATTCCCAGGTGGATGTGTGTGCGCGTCTGTTTGCAAGTGCGTGCCAGAGCGAGAAGGTGATTCCCCTGACGGGCACGACAGATGGGGAGGGAGTGGATCTGCTCGTTCTCTCTGCCACCTGAAAGCCACGAGGGTATACAGAGGCGATGCCCGACGCTCAATCCGCTGACAGAGGTTGCTTTGTTTTGATTTAGTCGCTCGGCGCAGCACAACAGAAAAGTCAATTGACTATAATTAGAAAAGGATTGCATTGTGGTTTCTGGTTTAATAGCAATTAGCAAACTACAAAACACTCAGACGCCAAGCGTTTCATTTTTAGTCAGTACTACAATTCATAAACTGCGGTAGGCTCTGTCAACTACAGATATTTATCTTGCTGTTACAGAGTTTATCTGTGTGTTATGGGTAATCTGTGTTCTCACACAGCCAGCAAACCTGACCATTTGATTCAAGAACTTTGATTCAAGTTTATGTCAGAAGGCAGGCCCATTTTAGAAAGGGTTTTTTTATGTATCTAAAATGCACTTGATATGTTTGCACTGATACCTACTATAATGTGCGTCACGTCATCATTCTGTTTCTAATCAAAATGCAATTGAAATACATAATCTCAGTACCACACCTAAATATCAGTTCCACCCTTTTTAGTCAGAAGTAATGACGCAGAAGTAATAACGCCCTATATTTGACACATTTTAAGCTATTAGAAAGATTTCTAACCATTTCTTCCAAGTAGAGGAGTTTGAGCATCTCTGGATCTTGCTCACAAGTGAGGCAAGACTTGAGCAGTAGATTGACACAACACAACAATAACGCAGACTGTGTATCAGTCTGTTGCGGTGAAGAGCAGGAAGGCAAAGCTGCAGATTTACCAGATGATCTGCGTTCCTATCCTCACCTACTCTTGAGAAAGCTCATTTCTGCTGTGATCTCATTCTATCAGTCTGTACCTAAAGGGTGTCTAGGCTCTGCCTGAGAGACAGAGGAAAGAGCTTAGTCATTCAAGAGGGCCTCAGAGAGCCACTATTTGAAGGTGGTTCAGGCACCTAACCAGGTGTCTTCTAGGTGAGGTATTTTAGGCGTTTCTGCTACTGGGTATCTCTGCCTGGACTATTGCCCCTTATAAAACAGATGACGGCAGATCATGGATGGTTGGATGAATGGATGGATGGATTGATTGTTACAAAAACTACTATTTCTGTCACTAAAACAAATCTTAAAGTGTGATGCAGGCTAATGGACTCAGCTTTGAGTACAATAAAATCCAACCGAAAATGACCATTTTATGTCCTATTCACTATGTAACTATACCTTTAAAAACTAGTAGGAGGTGGGGTAACTTTCCCACTGTATGTAGTAAATTCAAACAATGTGATATCAAAAAGAGGAAGAACTTCAAAGCAACTAACAATACACACAGAATTAGAGAACTATAGAAATGGGGAAGCGGCAGTTGACAACTTTCTAATAATGATGATGCTAGTTAGCTCTTTGACGTAGCCAGATGCTATCACACAACTTTTAAATTTTTTTGGGTACAAAGGAAACAAAAGTGTTCAGATCAATGTAAGTGTGTAGGAGTGCTCCCACACTAAACAATCAACAACGTGGCATCGTAGCAATGTGCAGTTAGGTTTCAAAAGAGAAGCACATCCATCTGTGGCACCCACCATCATACAGTCAAACCTGGATGATTCAGCTATATAGATAGTACAATCTCCAAAAATATTCAAACTTCTCCTACTTTTCCCTACCTTATTTAAAATTTCATTCAGCATTTTTTAACAATTTTAATTCAATGCGTTCAGCTGCTGTAGATGATTGGACCCTGAATTTCTCTGCTTCATATCTACCCTTTATCTACAGTATGAATGCTTTTATACAGTGCAGAGGAGCATGTTCCTGCCATTATCCCAAATGTCAAAATGAAATTTGGCTCTGCAAAGTGATGACAGTAATCAGCCAAAGTAAGTAAAGATATAGATCCATGCGTCAGTGCCCAAAGCCGCCCTCCGATTGTGACCGACTGAGTTATAAATCCTCAGAAAAACAATGGACCTAATAACACCATATCGGTTCCACATGTCAGAGTCTCTATGTTAATCTCTGATTTATATCAAATCTGTAATTCAAGCTTGTCAACTTCAAGTTCTGACCTGGGACCACCTGCATTTGGAGAATTAGCTAAAGAAATAAAAGCTTGGAAATGTCAGCAGCCTCCAGCTCTCATTCTAATGCATTTATTTAATCAACGTTAGATATGCGGTTACTCTCACTTTCCGATTGTAGACACAGGCTGTTAACATTTATTAGGTTGCAGCTCAAAGCTTGATTGTTTCCTACTCCTCAGCCAACAGAAGTCATTACATATGAATCTTTCACTTTTACTTCTTCTGTATCAGACTCAAAACCTGATTAGGATTCAGCAGACTTCTTCCAATTACTCCATCAACCAGGGTGGTGTTAGACAGTGAGAACATGCATAAAGCAAGAAAGAGATCATCAGTCATCAGGAACGCCGCTTTGAATCAAAGACACGACTCGTCAATGAGGCACAGCATGTTAACATGTAGCAGTTATGATAAAAGGCAAAAATCCAACACGGTGCAAGACACCGCTCTTGGGGAAAATCGTTGACTGTTGCAATTTCAGGAATGTAAACTGTCAGACGATACGCTGACCCGCCGCCAGCAGACAAAAAAGAAAAGCTGGCCCAGAAAATGTGTTGCAGAACAAGGTTAATTCCACCATGTCCACATTTACTGTCTTGTCAAGACTGAGTGATTCCTCAACCCTCCACAACCCTACAGGGATGTTGCACCAGTTGAGAATGTGTTTGCATAGCACGCATAATGCACTGCCCAAACACACTGTTATTGTTCTCAAAGTGTAGTTTCCTTCATTTGCCACACTGAAAAAGCTGCATACACAGGAAACAGCATATGTAAGACTCATTAAGCACATGCAAAATGCAAAACTATCTAGCATGCGATTTCCTTTGTAAATGAAGTCTGGAGCTTGTTCATACAACACATGTGACCCTTGAGGTGCTTAGGTGGCAAATAGAATCAGGTTTGCTAACATAGCTCGTCTGGAAAGATGAGGAAACGCTCTGGATAGATTATTTTTGATCGTTTTCCAATGTTCTGGACATTCTTGACAGGTGGAAACCATGGGAACCTGACAAACATGTCAGTGCCAGTCAATAAGTGTACAGTTCATATGTACTATATATACAGAAGTCTCCAGAAAAACAACCATAAAAAAAACCCCATCAACTCTGTACCTGTGGAAACGAGACACTGTGTTCCAGTGGAAAAGTAACACCAACCAGGCTTTTCACTGTCAATATATCACAGTACCATTACACTAACAGATCCCATTGACGAAGTCTGACGGTTAATACAAGCCACCAGCGTTGTACATAAAGCCATGCAAACTTTTTCTTACCTTGGTTGTCAGCTGCCTTCACTTCAGTGCCCTTTCTTTAGATTTGAATACAGCTTTTATCCCAACACAGGTCTTCGCAGACTCTGCAATCAGAAGAGACAATCTGTGATTCTTCGTGTCTTTGCCAACAAAAGCAAAACATTCACCAGGCCAAAAGTTCCAGGGAGTGAAAAGGCTTTCAGAGGAATCCTGTGAGCCAAATCCTACAGATAGCCACAACTCGAGCACAAGCAAATCCACATGGCCACTGAAGCATGCATGTACTGCTAAGTCAGGGATGACATGGGAGGAGTCTGGGAGTTCAAGAGAGGAAAATCCCCAAAGGAGGCGCAAGGTTTTCTTGTCTATCAAAACCAATTTTAGATCTTCATGTGACCAGCTTACCACTAAAAAGCTTAGCAGTCTAATCCTTCAACCAAATGAATTGTCTAACTCGAGGCTTTGGCCAAAGGCATCAAAGCGCCGTTATAGCATGAATGTTGCCGAACTTTCAAAGGGGCAGGTATATGGAGTATACAGCTCTCCAGTACACTATGCAGATATTCGCTTTACTGTCTGCTTGGCTTCATTACACTTTGTACAAAAAGACCTTTCAATATTAACACCTATTACTGTACATAAACGAAAGACCCCAGGCAATATTAACAGACATCTCAGCCAAGTTAAATATTTTAATCAGTTGCATTAGAAAAACTGAATAATTACCACTCATGCTTCAACACATACTATCAAGGTACTTGCACACTCATGGCGATGCTGATGAACGCCAAGTAAAAAGCAAGCTGAGAGAGAGCATTCACGCTAGGCATACCTGCACTTTTTCTAAAGGCTATAAGCATAATAGAGCTGGTCTTTATATATGACCACTAAAGTAAATTATATTTAACATTGAGTTGTTTTATTCTGAACAGGCCCTTTATATCAGATCAACTGAAGTGATCTGGTAGAAGCAAATTAAATAATGTTTTGTGTGTGTTTGTGTTTCGGACAACACTAACTCAGTCTGATAAAAATGCCAACTCAAAATGGCTCGATTTTATTTAGCTTATTTTTTGATCGTGAAAAAGGGGGATTGAAATGATTAATTAATACATACAGGCAGTGAATGCAAGAGTATGGGACTCAGCTACATGGACGAACAACCACAGATAATTGAGCCTCGCAATAGCTCAGCTAGGCATGCCAGTAAATTTATGCTCACAATAGTTTCACGCACGCTCTAATCATGTATAGCCATGGCCTACCTCTCCCCATAGGCGATGCGTACAACTGTGCTGACCTCTGTATCCTCGCTCTGCATGACTTCATGCTTTCAGCTATTTAACTCCCTCCAACTCTCCAGCCTCCCACTCTATTAGCATTTAATTGTATATAAACTGCAAAAATGTTTAACACATGCCCATGTTCATAAGATGCTGTATCTCACACCCTGTGGGAGGTGGGGGGTGCAGAGGTTGGTGCCCACATTAATGTGTACTGTGTGAAAATAGAAACAAGCACAAAAAAAAAGTCTGTTTTACAGCATCACATGAGCGGGGCTACAGGCTAAGATGAATGCATGTGAGTTTCTGAAATTGAAGATGTAGTCAGAAAATATGCCAATGACATGGCAAGTTTCACAACTCCTACAAGAAGGCAAAAGGTTGGCCCTTCCTGGGGATTTATGCACAACTACATGTAGGGTCGACACAGTCCGCTACTATTGTCAATGAGCTGTCCGGTACTGTCAGTTCCTCTTGTTTGATTTCCAGCCAGAAAATATCAGTCATCCTCTTTTTACAAGGATGCAGGATATGTTATAGGCTCGGCAAAGAAATCAGAAATCTAAATCTGGTGGATTGTACAGCAACATTGATCCTGTGTGAGTTTGAAGTCTTCTTGTCATTGTTTTAATGCCGTCCAACCAACGCATTGCCTTTTTCCTACTGTTCTTCCAATAATGACGTCCTTTTTTAATGACTATTGTGTTCTGATGACAAGTTCAAAGTTGGCGTGTCGTATCTTTATCATTTGTCTTTCCAGTGACGTTGATGGCTTGATTTCTTCCAAGATTGATTTGTTGGTCCTTCTGGTGGCTGTCTATGGTTTTAATAAAATCCTTCTACAGCACCACGTACAATTTGTCGACTGTCCTGTTTTCCCCAGGAAAACTTTCCCCAACTATAGGTCCCCATGGAGAAAAAAAAAAAAAGTGAAAATCAATGTTTTCATCGGCTAAGAAATGTCCTTAGATTTGAAGACCTTATCCAATGAGTTCGTCGTTGCCTTGCCCACTGCGATTCTCCTTTGACTTCCAAGGTAAATGAGGCCTCAGAATCATCATTGATCACAGCAAAAAGTTAAAAATAAGTAAGTATAATAATAGTAACAATAATCTGAATACAGCTAATGTCAACAGTGCAAAACATCAGCATCCTTTTTAAGGACGCTACTGTTACGTACACACAAATACGTTCACATGCTTATATGTCAAGAGAATAACAAAGTCCGGAAAACAGATGCCTCCCAAGCGTAGTTAACAATGTGACAAAAGCTTGTGACAGGTAAAGAAATACGTTCAAAGCTCTGACTGAGACATACACACACACACACACACACACACACAACTGAACACACTTGGTATCTTTACATCATAATGTTCTGTTTGGCATACTAGATACATTTCCATAGCTTGTATCATTATCTGATGACATTCAGTCGCAGACGCACATCACCGCTGCCACTTTTCCTCTTGACCTGACAGGCAGCACACATAAAATCATATCTTGCACTGAAAAGATAATGATGAAGTTATTCATTAAAAGACAGCTTGTTGGCGGCAAAATCAACGGGAATGAGAAACAGAAATGGTGGCCTTTGGGTGTTAGATGTTGTCTCACAGCTTTTGCTGCTTCACAAATTAAAATATAAAGATATGCAGAGGCTACGTGGATTGATTATTCTCATTTTCATTTTATGCTGGGAACACACAAAAAAACCACGGTGACAGCTAATAACTTAAAAGGTACTTTTGGCTACACTTTTTTCCCCAAAGGGTCGCTACAGCAGATGGATCTGGGTGTTTTCCTTATTGTCCAGGTTTGTGATGCAACCCACCCCCAATCTATCAGGGCTTGGGAACAGCATTAGCGTCTCCTTCCAGTGGTAGCCAATAAAATAATGGACCTAAAAACTTACACAAGACCTCACCACACCTAATCTCAGTGAACTAATTTCAGAAGCAGTTTGTTAGTGCTACCTAATGCTTGTAAAGCAGGGAGGTCTATTAAAAGGCCTTTAATTTTTAACAGAAAGAACCAGAGAGGCCAAGCCTTACTACTCATGGACTGATCAAATGAAAAAAAAAAAAAGGATTGTACCATCATCCAATCACGCACAACTTCACACCGGATCGCTTCGATAAATTAGCTCTAAGTTGAAGAAATGTACGTTTCTGCAACCAATACTCTTCATTTGATAAGAGTGATCGAGTTTGGCAGCCATGCATTTGATTGTTCAGTTAACCCATATGCTAACCCAGCTCTTAGGACTTGGGGAGGGATAAATATGCATCCTCACAGGTGGCAGAGAGAAGAGGTAAACCTGACAGCAAACCTACATTATAAAATCTATTTAAAAGAGAAATAAGTTGGTGTTTGTAGTTAATGATACTTTATTTTGTGCCGTACACTAGTGCTGGTAACAAGAAGGGTCCAGACGTACCAAGCTTTAACTTATTAACAACGCTAGCAGTCATTGCAGCAAACTCTTCAGCGGCGTCTTACTCCCCATGCAACATTTTCCATAATGCACCGTGCTGAGCTCACCAAAAATCATAAAGGATCAATCAGACTCCAAAACAGACTTAAAGCAATGAGCTGCGTTCAGGATCAACATGTTAAACATATTAGAGAATTAACAGCTATTTTTAGAGTTTTTATTAGAGTGTAGACTGGAAATCAGGGAGAGGGTAGGGGGCACACACCCTTTACCATATAGTCAACTGCTGAACCAGGTGAGCTACACCAGCACCCTGCTAAGCTTTAGCTTGATATAAATCAAAATGTAAACGTTATTCACGCACTTGTAGGCTCATCCAACCAAGATCTCACTCTGTGAGTCTCGTTCCCTTACAAGTTCTCTTGCTACATGTAAGGAGACAGCACCTCTCCAGATTTTTGTTTTGCTATATGAAAACCCGGTGCTTTATTCTGAAAGAGTTGGAACACAAAAAGAAGATGCTATTCGGAAAGAAAATCCACAGAGCTTGAAGCTCATTGGATAACGCCTAAGTGCTAAACAAAACAAAGGACTTACATGGAGTAACGCATACTAGGAAGGCTTTATTGCACTGAGTATTAGACAGCTCATTTCTTTATCAGCATTGATTAATCTATTTTGATAGCCAACAACCGGCTTTAGCAGTTGCACCTTTATTGCACTACTATTGCTGTGATGTTTAAACACGGGCATAAAAATATCACCCGAGCCAAATATCATTACTTGAGTAATTTGTCTGAGCAAATAAAAGATAAGCAGGGAGCAGAGATTACAAATGGCAGTATATGAGCTTCTCATTAATATTCCTGCCTCCGATCGTGATGCACAAAAAGAACAGGTGATACAAAGAGGAGTAAAAATGCTCTTTTTCTAACTTGTCAGCCTGAGAGAGACGGACTTGTTTCCTCAACAGCATAACATGTCTTCACATGAGCTTCATTCTTGTGACATGCTTTAGTGCACAGCGACACACAGCCACACCGAGAGGTCAATGTCTGATTTAAAGGTTCAGCAGATGTTCACAACAGATTACGCATGCGGCAGTTTTAAAAGCATTAAATAATATCAGCTGTTCCTTGAGGCTTTTTCCCTTCTTTCTTGAGTCTCACCACATAATGAATACAACACAAGCCCCCTTCATCCCAGATGCTTGTTTGGAAGATGTTTGGAAGATGATATAGCAAATATAACTGGATTTGGGGCAGAGTTTCCATATTTTAGCAGTGACTACAACTGATGCTTTTAGGATGAGTAAACCCAGTGATACTATGCTAGGATGTTTTTGTTGAATCTGCAAATGTGAGAGATTTAGTGGCATTTCTGT